CAGAGACAGAGTGGGGAGCAGAACAGGCAGATGGACGAAGTACACTGCTGAGGGGAGCAGCGGGCGGGTCAGGAGAGGTCTGCCATGCCATGTGGATCTCCTCCGGAGCAGGCGGGAATTGAACTCATGCGGAAGTGGCTTAAGCTTCTTAGTGCTGTGTTTTAACCTGCTGCACCACCAGGGAGGGCCCTTTCTGATAAGTTTTTAAAGGAGATTTATCAGCTAAGTTTTAACAATGGGTTCAAGTGCAGTACTAATTCAATTCCTGGCCAGGGAGGTGACCTACATGGTGTGGCAGCCCTCTCCTGACCCGCCCACTGCTTCCTTCAGCAGTGTATTTCAGTCAGTCAACTGGCCTGTTCTGCTCCCCACTCTGCTCTGTCTCTGGTGAATCCTCTCACCCCCCTGCACCTCTGGCCTGTACCCCGGTTCTTGTATACATAAATAAATAAATCTTTAAACATTTTTTTAACAGCCTTTGCTTGTTAATGGATGAATAGGGGTTAGAAACTTGTGAGCAGTGAGCTTTTTCTGTTTGGTTCTTTGTATCTTTGGTAGGTGTCATTTTTAATCCTAGCTATGACAGCTACTAAAAAACTAAATGTCACAGTTTTTAAACCAAGACCGCCAGTGGTTTTGTTGTTAACTGTTTAACCAAGATTTTAGAAATAAAGAAGCATATTTAATTCATTGTTCTGAGTTTGTCACTTTTAAGAAGGCATACCCCAAAGGCTTTTGTTTATTAAATATGTTAACACTATTTAAAAATAGTAGATTTTTCACTTTTATATTTTTAAAGTTTCTGGGCTTGTGGATTTTATAATGTATTGGTTATTCTGTAATTTATAAATGTACATGTAGTAGAGATATTCAGAATTTTTACTGATGGGCTTTGTAAGAACAATTTGGAGATTCATTTATAAAGGTGAAAGTGTGTAATATAAAATTAACAAGCCAATGGGAAGAAGCTTTTGAAGCATTTTGAAAAAATGAATGTTTTAACATCAGGTTTTTTGGGGGGAATGTGCTTTTTCGTTGATAGCTTTTCACTTTGAAGGTGAATATAATGGAAACTACTACTAATAAACCAATTAAGTTTACTGAAAAGTGATTTTTTGTTGCTTTTTTCAAGTCTACCATGGAGGCAAAATGACAATGAAAAGATTGCATGGAAGAATAGAATTAGAGTGGTAGTATCACCCTCAAAGCAGATAAATTCTTCCTCTGCAGTTTAGATGGTTTATCTTTTATCACAAGTTTAGAATGACTTATTTTTAAAAAATATTTATGCATACAGAACTAGGGTATAGGCCAGAGATGCAGGGGTGGTGAGAGGATTTACCAGAGACAGAGTGGGGAGCAGAAAAGGCAAATCTCTGAAATACCCTTCTGAGAAGAGCAGTGGGTAAGACAGGAGAGGTCTGCGCACCATGTGGGTCATCTCTGTGCTGGGGATCGAACTGGTACTGAAGCAGCTGCACCTGGCTTGCAGTGCTGCTTCCTAACTCTTTGTGCCACCCTGGAGGGCCTTTAGAATGATTTAAGTAATGATTTAAATGTGAAAACCTGGGGCATTTAGAAAAATAAAACAGTTGGTAATATAGAAAGGGATGAATTGTTTATCAGCATTACAGGTTTTTGATAAGAAGAGCACTATATTATTTCTCCATTTGCAAATTTTTTTCTTGAAGGGTAGGAAATAACTTTATGAAGTTATATGTAACATGTAGAAGGAAATATGGGTGAGGACTGAAAGAATATAACACAAGTATACTTTGTGTATCATGTCTACCCAGTGATGTCACCAATGACTGTGAGATGGTTAGTAGGACTCTCAAATCATGATGGCAATAATTCAGAGAGCCTTAGTAATTTGTTAAAGGCCAAACACTTGGTAAAGGAAGAGCCCAGAATTTGTTTTGTTGCTGTTTTTAAATATACTTTTAACATTTTTCATTTTTGTACAATAATTGCTTTCTAAACTCTATTACAGTCCTCAGTTATACACCAATTCACCCATGTACCATCCCCATAGTTCCTTGTGTTCTTCTTACCTCTGTTTTGATCCTGCTCCCCTCTCCCTTACCGTAGTATGTTTCTGGTTTATAGTTGCCTGTTTATTTTGACATTTACTTAATTATAATTACTATTTTTTTTCTGATCCATTATTTAGATTCGCTACATTCTTACTAAGAGTGAAACCATTGGTATTTTTCTTTCTCTTTTTGGCTTATTTCATTGAGCAGGATCCCTTCCAGCTTCATCTGTGTTGTGAATGGCAGAAGTTTATCTTTTTTGATTGATGACTATTTTATTGTGTATATGTACTCTTGATTCAGTCTATTTTTGGGCATTTGGGTTGTTTCTATCGCTTACCTATTGCAAATAGTGCTGCAATAAACATAGGGGTGCAGATGTCCTTTTGAATTAATGTTTTTGTGTTATTGGATAGATACCGTGGAGTGGAATTGCTGGATCAGGTGGAAGCTTTATTGTTAGCATTTGAGGAATCTCTAAACAGCTTTCCATAGTGGTTGGACTATTTTGCATTTCCACCAGCAGTATAGGAGAGTTCCTTTTTCTGCATAGCCTCGCCAACATTTGTTGTTACTAGTTTTTTAAATATGTGTCATTTTCACTGGTAGAAGATGGTATCTCATTGTGGTTTTGATTTGCATTTCCCTGATTATGAGTAATATTGGACATTATTTCATATGCCTGTTGGCCATATGAATTTCCTCTTTAGAGAAGTCTTTTTAGCTCCTTGCCCCTCCCCCCTCTTTTTTTTGACTGAGAGGTCAGAATTTGATCACAGATATATTTGATTATTTTAAGCCAAATAGTTCTTCATTGGATATCTACTAGGAGGCCTGGTGCGTATGCCCTGGGATTTTAGAGCATTATAACCTTTTGATATGGAGAGATCACCACCATCAAAATAAGCTTGGCAAGACAATTAGGTAGTAATTATTTGGGCGCTTTGGGAAACCAAAGAATTTCTACTTTACTCATTTTCAGGAGTTTCGGAACTGGATCTCAAAGGAGGAATCAGCTTTAATTGCAGAACGATGACTAGGGGAGGATGTTACAGTGGGAAAAACCATAGGTGTAAAGGCATTCAGGCATAAAGTACTATGATTTATGCTGAGGAACCTATTTCTGTTTCAGTCTTAAAAGGATGAGGGGAATGGACACCAGCCAAAGAGCCTATATTTTTCCCTTTTATACCTCATTGCTCCTCTGGACAAATACTCAGAGCTGGTTAAAATATTTGAATATAAAATTCTATACTTCCCAGTCTTTGTTTTTCTTTCTTTTCTAGGATCAGTTCGACAGTTTAGACAAGCATACACAGTGGGGAATTGACTTCTTGGAAAGATATGCCAAATTTGTTAAAGAAAGGATAGAAATTGAACAGAACTATGCGAAACAATTGAGGTAAGTTTTTTCTAGCTTTTAAAAAAAGATTTATTTATTTATTGTTTGTTTGTTTATGCATACAAGAACTGGGGTATAGGCCATACAAGTGCTGGGGGAGTGAGAGGATTCACCAGAGAGAGAGAGAGAGTGGGGTACAGAACAGGCAGATGAACTGAAATACACTGCTGAGGGGAACAGTGGGCAGGTCAGGAGAGGTCTGCCATGCAGGTCGCGTCTCTGGCAGGGGATTGAATTTGTGTTGCAGATAGCTTCATAGTTCTGCGCTTTGACCTGTTGCACCACTAGAGAGGGCCCATTTTTTTCCAGTTCTTAAAAAGTGAAATTACATGTTTAAGTAGTTGGATGTTATATACTGGAGGTTAAGTCCTGTGTTTTTCATCAGGATTATATTGAAAACTGATCAGTTTAATTAAATCATTTCCTAGTGCCGCAAGAAAAATTGGTTAGATAGATTATAGGTAGCTTCATTCCAGAAAGTCACTTAGCATTTCCAAGACTTGAAAATTGAGTGAGTGCTGAGATTCTGTCAGAAAACAGATATATTACTCATGAAAGTTATTTTGAAATATGTAGTAAAGATAAAACTTTTACTTGTGGCCATGCATCCACAGAATGTGAAACAATCAATGCAAAAAACAGTATGTGTTTGTGTTCACAGTAGCATCGTTTATAATAATTGGGACATGAAAACAACTCAAATGTCCATTGATAGATGATTAGATCAAAACAATGTGGTATTGCCCCACTTTGTAATTTTCAGTCATATGCCACACTATTCAACCATAGGAAAATATGAAATATAGCCATTCTCATCAAAATGGAGTGAATTTGAGAAGTAATGTCCAGTAAAGCAAGTCAGAATAAAAGCTGAAAAATTTAAAGGGATGATTTTAGTCTTAAAGCAAATGGAGTTCATTTTAAGATTATGTCAAGCAGAAAATCATCATTAGTCCGCATTGTGACAAGTAGTTTTGCTGGAAATTTTTCAATAAAATTGGTGCTTGAAAGCTGAAGACTAGATACCAATGAAAGAGTAGTTGTAGGGAGGAATTAGGATCCTCTTTTGCTGCAAGTAACAAAAAAATCCAGCTGAAGCAAGCATGCATGACTGAAAATTTCAGGCATATTTTGATCCAGGAGTCTAATGTGTCCAGGTCTCATTTCTCCTTGTCTTTATCCTCGGATTCCACTTAGTACCATCCTCCTTACTTCATGCGCTACATTCTGTATCTTCACATCCTGCATTTTGGGGAAGAATGATGATCTTCTCTGTTGTACCTTGGGTGGAGGTGGGGAGGAGAGAAAAAGAAAAATGGGAAAGAAGAAAGTAAAAAAAGGAGAGGAGGGCTAGGAAGAAGAGCAGCTTCTTCTTTTCAGAAATCTCAGCAGAGGTCTCCTTTTATCATGCTGACCCTGATTAGTTTACAGGTTTATTCTGAACAACTTAGTAAATGAGAATATTGCATTGGCTTTATAGCTAGTGATGGAAGAGGGGTAGTCATCCAAAAGAAATCTAAGGTGGTAGGGTTTAGAAGGAAGGGGGATAGTTGAGTGATAAATAGCATATGTATATTATAGTAGTAGTGATTTATGCAACCAACTGAGTGGTTATTGTGATGGAATAGACTAGTACAATGAATAGATTACAGTTGGCTTTTGAGCTACTTGAACTTACTTTAAACTATTTGAACTTACATAGGTGATGTAAACTTACAGTATTGATAAACAGTGCAGTACTGTTAATTTTTCTTTATGATTTTAAGTCTGCTTTATTGTAAGAATATAGTATGTAGGCCCTCCCTGGTGGCGCAGCAGGTTAGGACGCAGCACTGCAAGCTGGCAGCAACCGCTTCAGTATGAGTTTAATCTTCTCCCCATCCTCCCCCCCCAGGTGAACTCATGGCATGGCAGATTTCTCCTGACCCTCCTGCTGTTCCCCTCAGCAGTGTACTTTGTAGATCTGCCTATTCTGCTCCCCACTCTGTTTCTGGTGAATCCTTTCACCACCCCTGCACCATCTGGCTTGAACCCCAGTTCTGTATGAATAAATAAATAAATCTTAAAAAAAAAAAAGACTATAGTAAGTAATACTCAGCATTTTCTTATTAGTAAGACTTCTAATCACCAATAGGTTACTGGTACTTAAGTTTTTGGGGGGAATTACAAGTAATACACAGATATTTGACTGCATGGAGATTGGTATCCCTTATGCCCCAGGTTGTTAAAGGGTAAACTGTACTTATAATGATCCACATATTAGATACACATTTACTGCAATAGTGACATCATGCTAATTTTCTGATCTATTTGCTGCTTTTGTTTTTTAACAGGGATTTTTACGGGCACATTAATAGTAGTGATGATTTCACCTATCCAAAAATTAAGATTAAGGAACTTCTTAAGAATCTAGAAGCATTAAGGACCTCCTGGAAGTTAAATTAGTTATTAAGAAATATATTCACATAATGAATAATGAAATATTTCTCTCATTTAATTTTTAATTTGATCTTAATTCTAGCTCATTAAGTGTTCAGGCTATCACATTCTAATAGAAGTGAGGAAAAGGATACTACTGGTAGCACAGTGATGGCAATCTAGAGAGACAATAAAGAACAAGATTAAAATATTGTGAAAAAGAGAAGAGGCCCTCCCTGGTGGCGCAGTGGGTTAGAGCGCAGCACTGAGAATCTGAAGCCACTTCCGCATAAGTTCGATTCCCGCCTGCCGCCTGCCCCGGAGGAGACCACATGGCGAGCCAGACCTCTCCTGGCCCGCCCGC